AATACGGATTTCAAATTATAAATTTATTTATTACTAAACTAAATTTTGTTTCCAGAAAATCTGAAAAGCAAATTTGTTGTTTTTACAAACTATCGAAATATATCTAGATAATGCTAAATTTCTAAATTATCCATTTGTTAAAAAGTTAAGTTTATGCGAGATCAGAACAACTGAAATAAACAAAGTTATTTGCAAATGAAACAGCTCAATTCAGATTATTCAGTGAATTTACACAAAAACATAAAAAAGCCCAAATTGCCCATAACGTGAGACTTTTTCTGAGTTCGATTGACACTTCAACAAAATCAAATTGCAATTAAACCATACATAAATATTCAAAAGATAATTTTTTAATATTGACAGGGTTGAAATGTCAAAAGCGTTAAATTGAAAGGGTATTTCTAAATGAATTGTAACAACGGTATGAACAAAGAGACAACCAATTAAAAATAGACAACTTCAGATCAAAGCGATGCTCGTAACTAAAACGATATGAGTCAAAGATTAGATTTAAATGAAAACGAAGTGATGATACAGAGTAAATTAAGAAATGACAAGTAGCAGTCATACAAAAACTGTTTTAGACAGGCTCACGTGTGTTAGAAATTCACGGAATTTCATTGAACTGTAAAAAAAAACAGAACAAAAAATTTCTTGATTCAGTTTTTAAATGCTTTGCCTTTTCAGTGTCAATAAACAAATCAAATGACCTTCTGGCCTCCCGCAAATGATTTCAAAACTTTCGTTTAAATAAAATCTGAGTTTATTTACCGCTGTTTATTTCAAACATGTTTTTTTAAAATATATTTTAACACCAAATTACATTAATCTAGTCACGGAGTTTAACTGACCCAATTCGAATGTTAAAATAAAACACTTTATATTTCAGAAATTTTAGCTATTTTGCTTCAATTAGCAGGCCGAATTCTAACAACATATAAACATGTTAAGAAACCTTTGATCAAATTAACAAACGTTAATCAGTCTAACTACCAACGAACTACTTTATAAGCAATATTTTACAGCGACTGTTAAAAATCTGTTTTCTCTGCTTTATGGAACTTTGTAGGGTTTTATCATCGATCTGAAGCCGAGCTGGATTGGCAGTTCTCATATTCTGCTTCTGATTCAATTAGAAAAAAATTTGAACTTCTTTCCACCTCTCTCGATTTCTTCTTCTGAATCACTTCCATCATTGCTCCTTTTCAATTCGTTGTGTTTTTCGCACCATTGGTACTTCTGAACTATCAGATTTTCCATCGGCATACCAAGTTTCTCTGACAGCAGGTCGCTAAACGTTGGATAGGCAATAATGTAAAGTTGAGATCGTGCGCGTGTACATGCCAGATATAAGATGTTTATCTAATTGAGTTGTACAGCTCGCAAGAAGACCAAATAGTGGTGGAATCAAGTAACTACGCTTTTAATAGACTACGCTCGCGAAGTTTTCATTAGTTTATTGTATTATTGTTCCACTACTTTTTGTTCCGAATTTCGTTACAAAAGTGACGGAATATTTGTGCTTGGGGTGGTACATTCTTCTTCAGACAAATTTCGACTTTTAACCTAGTCATTTTTGACGGAATTTTTTTGAAAACTTTGTCGATCTTTTTTTTAGGTCGACCAAATTGCGCCGCAGGCAAATTTTTAAAAAAAAGGCCAAAAAGTGGCGTTTTTAGGCACTTTTAAAAAATTTTTGACCAAAAAATTTTTTTTCGGCGCGCGCTCCCGCCTAAAAATTAGTATTTATTGGCGCCGAAGGTGCCTTAAGAAAAACTTGGAGTCCGTCAGCCAAAAATGGATATCTCAAAATAGTTCAAAGGGGGAACACTTTGGGTCGGCAGGTAGTCGAATCCCTGAGTAAAGCGTCCGCACCCCCCGCCCCGCCCCCCCCCCCCCTAAATCCACTAGTGCCTGTGATCATTTTTCGTTAAAATATGGGGGTGTACACATTGCTTTTTGATCATTTTGGGACAATATACGCGCAATTTATTTCGAGTCATGAAAGCGCAAGCGGAGATTTAATCCGTTTCAGAAATCGCTCCAAACTGGTCGAAGGAAGCTAATTTGCCATAATTGATTTTTTTTCTAGGAGCAAAATTTATCATTTTATACTTTAATTGGCGTGTGGGGAGATGATTTTCACAAGAATTTCTTGTTATTACTGCTCCACAGACCTGAAAAGGCTGTCGGAACATTCAGGGCTTCACCCTGATACGCCCAGTCTTGTTCTGTTTTTAGGGATCATGTCATTGCCGCTCATATTGCAAGTACAGATGTTGCTAATGATTTTTGTACGTTTTTCAGAAGAAACGGGAAACGGTTTCCAGTTTTTAGAAAAAATAGCCAGTTGCTGTAGAAGTAGCCTAGAATGTTTCGACCACTTTCACAAAAACTACAAAAAATATCTTCAAATTATTAGTTTCGCCAAGTTATGATCGATTCTTGTACAAGGTGAGATTAATGAACTTTATAGAAGCGCTGCAAGTTAGCAAATAAGGCCGTATCGACAACAGTTGACAACATTTTAAAAACCTAAACTTCAAGTTTTTCCAATTTTTTGCACAATTTTTCAAGTTTTTAAAACAAAATTTCTCTCAAAAGAAACACCAAATAAGCTTTTACATCTAATTTTATTAAAAAATAGGTTTTTCTCAGCTAAAGCCACATACATATTAACGAACATTATCTTCGCTTAACTCCCTTTGATCGATCGAAATTAGGTAGAGCTCAAAAATCTGAAAAATTTTTAATGACACTCGAATCACGACTGGGAGGGCTTCAATTTGATATCTCACTCAACCCAATCCGATGGTTGTTTGTGGTTCCTTATTTTGCATAAAAAAACAAAACAAACCCAAATAAAAAGTTCCTACCCATTTTTAATATATCTCACCGGGATATATCACTGAATTTGAAGTCATCCAAAAGATATGTCTTCTTAAGAATCAGTCTCTTCTTCTCCCAAATCGCGTAAGCATGATTTTTTTAGTGTACCGAGTACTGCAAATACGAAAACGTTAAATGTCAAAAATAGTCGGAAAGCCAATTTTTCATAACAATCGGACTATGATAACAAGACATTTTATTGTACAAAATTGCAGGTGGGTTCTTTGGTAAGAAAATTGCCCAATTTCTAAATAATTCAGTAATTTTTTTTAAATGTAACTCAAATCTTACATGAAAACTCCAGTAAAACATTTCTGAAATCTGATTTTTTTAAATTCAGTTCTTTTGATTCAGTTCAGCTTCAATCGGTTGCTTATAATTTTTGGTCTTCTAAACTCAAATTTCGATACCATATCAGATTCATCGAATTTACCATAATTAAGCGAATTAAGACGATTTTCTTCATCGAATCGACCGTCAATAATAACCCTTTCCCATTCGGATGACTTTGTTATATAAATCTGCGAACAGAAACTGGACCAGTCAACTTCTGTTTCATCGTTAACTCCCAGTTGCGACAAAAGCTCGGGATACTCCAGGCGAATGGTTTTCCCCAAAAATTTAAAAAAATTTGCACCCTCACCAGATGTCAAAAAATGAATGTCACCAGCTTGCATTCCTTCTTTCATCATTTGACATAGAAGGAACGCTATAAGTTTAGTTGGGTAAAGTCCTCGAGATGCAATGTTTTTTTTAAGCTCAAAAATAGTTATCGGAGGTCCCTGGAAATTAGATCCTTGCTTTACATCTATTAAAGTACCAGGGTAAACGTGCCCGTCGTCTTCTAGACTGCGATTCATGTATTCAACGAGTCGGCGGGTCATTTGGTTAATTTGAACCGTGTTTCGTAGAACTTCTTCGAGAATAAAAACTTCAACACTTTTTGACGACCTCAATTTTTTGATGTGCGTTATGTTCGAAATCAGTGTTTTATTTGATTGGTGAATGTCAGTAACTAACCAGGTAAGAAATTGATCGCTGGTTAAAAGACTTAAGGGGTTCAATTGGCTCTCACAAATTACGGGTAAATCACAATCATCAATGACCAAATGTGTTTTCATAACCCAGCGTGATGTCTCTGATCGATAGTCTTCTGTAACATTAGTTTTTTTAGTTTTTTTCAAAACAAACTGTTTAGCCTTTTCATTTAGGGAGTTTAGAAAAGCTGTCGTTTCCCCAATGATGACTTGCTTTTGACCAAATGCTTTTGTGTTGATGCTCTGTTTCGTTTGAAGATCTGAAGATAGCGGTTCGTACACAAATTCGAAGACTTTGCCTTTGTAAGGTCGGTAATCCGTGCGTGTCAAATATTCGCGTTTCCAAATTTTCTCCTCCTTATAACACCGACCATCCATCATTAGCCTTTCACATGAAATTTCGTTGTCCTCTAGCATTTTACAGTATGACTCGATAAATTTTCCGCTGCAGAGCAGAAGTATTTTGTCTTCCGGTTGTGTTTTACACAAATTAATGATTTTATGAAGCGTCAAAATAGTTTTTCCTGTCCCTGCCGGTCCGATTATCAGCTTCGTTCCGTTATTGGAAGAACTTAAGACATCTTGTTGCCGTGGGGTCAAGAAAAGAAGCTTCGAAGACTTTGAGGTTTTTGCGAATGATAGCTCAGATGTCGAAACCAGGTCGCTGAACGGCTTTTTGTCTCGCGATAACTTTTGTTCAGAAATTTCTGAATCCAGTTTTTGCACTGCTTTAGCATGAGAAAGATTTTCAAAATAAGTTTTTGTTGGTCGAACTTCAAAATAAGTTTTTGTTGGTCGAACTTCAGCTGTGTTCTCGCATTTTACTGAAACCGAAACGCTTATGCCAACCATTATGGGAACAAGTGTTTTGTATGTTTGTTCCGGATTACTGGGAGTTTCAAATTCGATCTCGGAGCGAAACCAATTCGAAAAACTCTCCCACGTTCCCAGTTTTGAAGCATCTAGAATTTTGTAAGATTCGCGAAAATTTTCAAACTCAAGGTTTTCATCTGCTGAGATTTCGCGAAAATTTTCAAACTCAAGGTTTTCATCTGCTGAGATTTTGTCTTCAAGTAAGACGACAATTTTTTTTGTTTTAACAGCATGACTCGAAGAGCAGAAATGTTTTGAAATACAAGAAACAAATAATTCGTCTCTGTTCAGCTGTTTGAGGGCCTGATTGATTTTTTTCAAACCTTTCGTCGCTTGACCTTGATAACTGCGACTTTTGATCTCCCACAAGACAACTCCATTTTTTGGGTCAATAGTCATGCAATCAATCTCTAAGTTTTCGGGGAAACCTTTATGGTTGAGTTTAATTTTAGAACTATTTCGCAAGTCGACCAAGCATTGGGAAGGCATTTCATGTTTTGCAACTGCTAAAATCATGTCCCATTGCAATTTGTCAACAGCAAGTCCGTGAAAAATGAACATTGGCAATTCATTTTCTACGGCGTATTTTTGGATTTTTTGCACGAAATTAAATTCTTCGATTTTCGATTTTTGTCCTGTTCTGAAATTAATGTACTGTTTGTCTCCGACATTGTCAGATTTTTGACCTCCTGAAGATCCCTCAGGCGGGTTAGGAGGCATTGATAGAGGTAGAGGAGGTACAAGGTAAACTCCTTTGGGCGTATTGTTTTCCAACCAATCGGGAAAAAATATGTTCATGTACCAGTCACACATAGACCTGAAATCATTAATATCTGAACACCCACCTGGAACGACATACTGGAGGTTCTGGAAGCTATCAGAAGTAGCCATTCATTCGTCAGTTTATTGCTGTCGTTGTTAACTGAACACGGTTCCACGAAACACTGAAACAACAAAATTCTCCATTTCAATTTATGTTACATAATTACATAAAATGTTTCAATTTAGAATAAACCATCATTTAAACTTTTAAAGCATTTATTCGAGCAAATGAAGTCAAACATACAATATCATTGAATGTATATGAAACAGAAAAACAACAAATATTCGAAATTGAAACTCGTCGTGACAACCAAAGAATCACTATTTTACGACATCTTTTTTAATCAAATAGCTTTAATCTTCCTCCAAAGCCCTCTTTGTTATCTGAGTGGAGCGTGTGAACAAAAGAAAACTATCCGGTCAACACCTTTCTAAGAAAATTCATTTGTCCCCCACCGGAAAAAAAAACAGGGAAAGAACTAAGCGCTAATCACATTTTTTTTCTCAATTTTGACTACACCATAAAGAACTCATGCGTTCATATTAAAGCCCTATTGGCCGTGATTCCGATACCAATAATTATTGAAACATTTCTCAGTGATTACAAAATCGAAAGACTAACCTCCCACATAACTATTTGTAACATAACTTGATTTCTAGAATTTCAATATTATTTTAGCAGTATTAACTAAAATTCAATTGAGAGTTTCCATTTTAGTTCAATCGCCTTTTTAAAAAATATATTTTATTTATCTTTGAATTCAGTTTTTTAAATCAGCGTAGTCGCAACGTTGTGTGTTTTTTGTAGACCAATCGGCTGTCCTTGTGATACTTCGATTTTAATCTCTTCAAAATGTTGAATACATTTTCAAGGTTTTTACTAAAAAGAATTTAAATGATTAAACTAATTAATAGGACAACCTATCAGGTTTTTGAATTGAAGTAAAACTTTTCTTCAACATTTGGTACCCAAAGACAATAAAATTTTCACTGTGATGTTTGAATATATATAGTAGAGGTTTCCAAATTTAGCGATGTATGTTGGATGTCAATTCAAGTGATCTTTGATCAAAAATTTGTAGACGAACTTTTTAAAGTCCGCAAAAGGTCTCTTCGTTTCTTCTTTTAGATTCAGTGTTGACACCTAGTTTTCTCACTTTAATTCAAAAACCTTAAAAAGAAGTAGCAAGATTCTGTCGAATCAGTCTATGTCATGTCATTCTATTTTAGACAATGCTCTACTATATTTCATTCTACTTTTACCAGTCCACTCTATGCCAAGTCGTTCCTTAGCTTTATTGTCTTCTGTTTTTCATTAGACATTTTAATTAAACCCAAAAAAAGTTGAGGGAATATGCCAGAAGGAACTTTGAAAAATGTTGGACTTTTAAAATGCTTATTACGCTATTATAAACCTTTGCACTAAAAAGCTAAAAATCACAAATTTCTCACCGATTTTGAGAAAATTTGGGTTTTTTTTATTTATTCCGACCAAATTTGCTATTAAGAATTTTTAATGTAAAAATGCAGAGAAAAAAACACTGATAGCACTGGTTGGTTTGCTTAAAACAAATCCGATCACTGTATTATTAAGCCGAATCCTAACTAGGCCAAATTTGAAGTGGTCTTTTTTCTTGGAGCTACTTTCTGTGTGTTTTTTTGTTAAAACTTTTAGCGTATTTAAAATATGTTACCAAACATTCTATATCCATTCCTAGGACCTGAAGATCTGAACAAAACATTTTGAGACAATGCTGAATTTGATTGGCTATTTCCAGCCAATCAAATTGAAGCAAAATAGTTTAATTTCAAGACGTTGAATTATTGATTTTTGGGCGGAATAAGTAAAAAGACCCGAAATTTTTTATGTTGTTGGAGTCATGACTGAAAGAAGTTTAATTTGACTTATCACCCAATCCATTCCGAGGTTTTTCCGATGTCTGTTTCTGGTTTGATTCGGTAAAATTCTAAATGTTAGAAACGTTTTTCAAAATCTGTGGAGCAGTATTAACATGAAAAAATTAAATGTTAAAAAATCAAAATCAATTTTTTTTTCAATTTGAGATTTTTTGTGAAAATCATCCCCCCACACGCTTGTGAATCATTTTGTGAAAATAATCTCCCAATAAAGTACAAAATGATAAATTTTGCTCCTAGCAAAAAATCAAATATGGCAAATCAGCTTCTCTTAACCAAGTTGGAACGATTTCTATGAGGGGTTGAATCTCCACTTTCGTTTTAACATCGCGAAATAAATCGCGCGTTCATTGCCACAATTTGGTCAAAGTAGCCATCTTTAAATCCCCATAACTTTGCAAGAAGTGATCACATGAGAAATATCTTTTCAAAGTTGAGCTCAAAACAACAATACTTTTTGAATGGTGTTAAGAATTTCTGTCAAAAGTCGGAACAAAAATAAGTCTGCTCGCTTGCTTCATTTATTGGTCATAAAAAATGAACTAGAAAATTGAACATTTTTCGTATAAATGGATAAAGAAAATTTGGCACTTCAAAATTTTGAGCAGCTGCTAGTTGCACGCGAGTAGTATTTAATTGTTTGTTTGACTCGCTTTCGCGCTTTCAATTTCAACTCGCAATTTGAATTGCCAAATATACCCATTTAGGGGGAGTATAACCAAGTAGACCCGAAATCAGTTATTTGATGTTTCACAGATGAAAAAGGACGCAATTATCAATTTTCAAGAGGGCTGATAGATAAATGAGGTTGACCAAATGCACTTTCTGAGCTATCTTGAAATATTCAATAAATGGGTTCTCGGCAAACAATTTGCGCAATGCGAACAAAATGTTATAATTTGGGCATTTTTTGGAAAATTAAAAAAATTGCGTAACTTTCAAAACTTTTAGTGTCGTTATAATAAACAAAAATCGATATCTGTTAAGCATCCATGAACTGATGTGTCTCAGAGAAACAAATAGCCTGCTTATTTTGAATGAATACTTGAACGTATTGAGTTTTGAATTATATCGACACGCTCAAAAATTTCGGTTTCATGCGCTGCGCAGATACATTTGAAACTTCTAATAAAAAAGAGTATGAAACACCATTGAAACTTCATTAATTTTATTGCCAATTTTTGTCGTTTTTTCTGTATATGTTGACATTTCTGTATATCAAATAAAAATTATCTGGTCAGTAATTTTTTCTTAAATTCCTTCTATAAATGATTTAGTTGTTGTTTTATCGCCATGGCAACAAGCTTACCTGGTACTTTGACGAATTCAATAAGAGAACCAAGGTATGAGTTGCATTAATCAATCTTTCTAATTTTTAAAACCAACTAAGTTTGAATGCTAGTAGCTATTGATTAGTTGTGTAAGCTCAGCGTTTCAACGGCATTATTTTATCTTGTTTTTCGCACATGCCTTATGGACGGGTAATGCAGTTTAATAATTTTTATTCGCATTGTTGTAATTCAGCTGTTTGTTTGACCACGATGAAATTATGCTCGCTCGGTATTCTGGCGTTTTAAACACCAAGATAACCATGACAGTAATCAAATTGCTCTGACTTTTGTACAAAACTTGGTTTTTAAAGCTAGCTATTTTTTATGTACAAACGTTAACTGAACAAACTTGATTGTTAAAGCTAGCTAGCTAGCTATTTTTATGTACACGTTAAGCATATAGACACCATAAAAATGAATTATTTTGACCTGATTTTTGCATGTGCTCTCACAGATCTGCTCTATTTAACAACAATGACAACAATGTGCAAACACAGAAAAAACACTTTTGCTGCACAATAAATAACAAAAATCTTTTATCCAGCAACGCAGCAATTTCAAGATAATATTACCCGGCCAAACTGTGCGCTGGATAGGCGCACAGTTTTGTGTCTGTATGTTCCTGGATTCCAGAGACAAGTCTTTAAAATGGTTCCAAAATGTAAATAGATTCCACTATCAAAATTTGAGCGGATTCGCGTACAAATACCTGTAACGTGAATTTTGTGGGCACATTTATTTTGTTGCGGAATCCTCAATAACCAAATATAGCTAGTTGTTCTGGATTCCGAAACTGTCAGTGGATTCCGCGAAATTTAAGTGGAATCCGCAAATGTAAGTGGAATCCGCAAAATTTGCAAGAGGAATCCACAAATGTACGTGGATTCCGCAGAATGTTAGTTGATTCCGCATTTTTGTTTATTACTGAACTTGCATATGTTTAACTAAAAACTAAAGGTAGAATATTTGATTTATTATTAATAGCAACGCGCAATTTGACAGCAGGGACTTATCCATTTGTCAGCTGAATGCATAAAAGTGGATTCAAATTTTTCTTTATCTTTATCTGATAATTTTTTAAGATCGGAAAAAAAAACAATAATCGAAAGCCATTTACGGCATGTGATGATTTGAAATGGGTTTGAAATGGCAGTTCAAGCTTGAAATGGGGAGAGTTAAGTCGCTCATCAGTAATTGAGATGAGATGGTTCAATTATATGGTTAAGAAATCATCATCAGTATTTGAGATGAGATGGTTCAGTTTGAAATGGCAGCTAAGTCACTCATCAGTAGTTGAGAAGAGATGGTTCAGTTGGTTAACTAATCATCATCAGTATTTAAGATGAGATGTTTCAGTTGGTTCAGAAATCATCATCGCACTCCTAAGTATTTGAGATAAGATGGTTCATTGTTTAAGACGAAATAAAGGACGGCTCCATTGGATTTTTGAAACAACCTCTGAAAGTTGCATTCAATTATTCTCGTTTTATGAAAACTGAAAGAAAAAATTTATACAAGCGGTAAAAAAACAGTACGAAAAGTAAAATTTTGTTTTTAAATATTGCTGAGCAATTGGATAAAATTTCATTTTTTATTTATGACTGTTTCGGCTGTTTCTGAATCTTTTCCCTCGAAACCTCTACTTTCGACAAAGCGTCTCTATTGTCTCAACGGCTCCCTATGGTATTCGTAGTCTGGTGTGTTTGTTGAAGTTTTCTTCAGATAAAATTTGCGTTTACCTCTCTCATTGAATTTCATTCGCTCTTTCCACAACTTTGTTGTCGCATCGTTTGACGGGTTTGGGTTCCTTTGTTTGAGCTTCATTATAATAAAAGCTTTCACAGAGTTAAGTGGAGTATCTTTATCCGGACAAACGAAGGGTGTAATACTTTCGAAATGCAGACTCGATAGGAAATCAATTATTTCGGAAACTGAAGAGTGCAAAGAATAACAGCAACAAAAATTTCTATCAGACCTTGCTTTCGACAAATTTCCGGGCATTTTATCGTTTTTAGTGAAGAACATTGCGGTTGGAATGATTTTAGGCACTTCTGGACTTGAGATGCCTGGCTTGCAAGGCTGTTTTAAATTCGCAGGCGTAGGCGACGGCTTGGAGAAATGGGTTTTGGTACTTTCGCCAATTAAGGTGAGCCAATTTGAATTGACGGAACAAACTGGTAAAGTTGATACTGACATAACGAAATGTGAACTTTAGTGTTGAATCTAAGTGCAAGCTCTTTCATCAAAAACTCATAACCGTGCAAGTTTTCTAACAAAATGAACCACATTATTTTGAAATGAACAGAGCCATGAGGACACGGCTTGAAACATGGCTGAAAACAGATCTCCCTACAAGGTATTAAATTGGAATCTGTTTTGCAAAACGTTGTGTCGATGTAAGGTTATCAATGTTGTGAACAGCAGCCTCTAGTAAATTGTCGATCAGATGATTTATTCGCTTCGTATGACCAACTTGCCATCTGAAATTGACGGTAAAAAGGACAGATTCTTCTTTGGAAACTAGTAAGAATTTTATTGAATCTAGACAGTGACCTGCAGGAAAAAGAGTGACAGTTAGGGTATGAGTCTGGTCCCCGTCCAATGGAACATTGAAGGTTAACCCATGATCTGAATCCAGCGTATTTTATATGGATTTAAATGAACATAAAGCGGCAATGCAATCAATTAAGTAGCCGAAACTTTATGACAAAAAATTTTAATGTTATAGTGTCTGAACGTTTCGGAGAGCTCCGGCTTGTTAAGGCCACCATGTGATCTGTATGACCTTGCGAAAGAAAATAAACCGTAGATTTAAGGTTCTCACCACTGAAGCGATCACTTGAAACCCCAGAAAACTCTGATATTAGACCGCAAAAATCTGTTATAGTTATTGAAGGAAAAAGGAAGTATGAACAGTGAGTTAATAAAATGAGGATTGAAGATACATTTCTATAGTTTTTAAGAAACGAGAAGACCACCACAATTTGACACTCTTGAGCCCGTTATCCGTTGAGAAATCTATCCAGTTAAAACCTTTTTTCCAAAACCAATAAGAAATACTTGGAAATTTCGAATCTATAACTATCATTAAAAAATTTAATTAGTTTAAATAACTATGTATAGCACCAATAAAAGTTTAAAACAAAGCCCAACAGAAATTCCCCATAGCTGGAAGCGGTAAAATTTATCAGATAAGGCAATGAAGAGAAAAAGATAACTAACTCTACAGTTTTAGATAAAGAAAGGACGTTGCTTCACTTTGTAACTGGTTGACTTTGATAAAAAACACTGATAAATTTCTAAAAGAGGAAGCTGACTGACGGCATTCGATGTAATTCAGTGACGGCGTTTGATGTAGCACCAGAGACGGTGGTTTTAGAAGGCGAATTGAGTTGGCACCAGAGACGGCGATTTGCACTAAAAAAGTGTTTTCTAATAAAAACCTGGTCATAAAGTAAATTGGTAAAATTAGTTTGAGATTCTGAAATTTAGATGGCTGATGATTGGCTCTCTTAGTACACAGCAAGCGTCTAAACTTGTGTTTCTTTTGCGAGTTGAGTTCGAGTTGACTGATTGTGTTGGGCAACTGTATACTGTTTGCGTCGGGCTATTGTTTTCACTACGGCGATTGCGTTCACTACGGCGGCATTTGCACTAAAGACGGTTTTCTAAAAAACTAGTCGTATTCAATTTCTGTAATTAATTTTGAGGTTTGAGATTTTGAAACTTACTGTTAAGTGAGGGTGCTGATAAGTGATTTGAAGTAAGTTTCGAAAAAAGTAAGGGTACTGGTAGTGAGGGTACTGATACCATACTGTCGGGCTTTTCCATGCTGTTTGAGTGGGCGATTGGGTCCGGCGGTTGTTCTCACTACGGAGGCGTTTGCACTAAAAACAGTTTTCTAATGAACTATTCATAAACTTTTGTAGTTATATATTTTGATATTTGATGTTTTGTAATTTACTGATAAAAGAGGGTACTGATCTATAATTTGAGTTAAGTTTCAAAATAAGTGAAGGTAGTGATAGTGAAGGTACTGATAGCATACTGTCGGGCACTTGCATACCGTTCGAGTCGAGCTATTGAGTCGGGCGATTGTTTTCACTACGGCGGCACTTGCACTAAAAACAGTTTTCTAATAAACTGGTCAGAAACTATTGCAATGATGTTTTTGAGATTTGAGAACTTGAAACTTATTGAGAAATTGGGGTAGTGATAAGTGATCTGAGGTAAGTTTCATAATAAGTGAAGTTACTGATAGTGAGGTTACTGATAGCATACGGTCGGGCATTTGCATGCTGCTTCAGTCGGGCGATTGTTTTCACTACGGCGATTGTTTTCACTACGGCGGCATTTGCACTAAGAAAAGTTTACTAAAAAACCAGTCATAAAATTTTTTATTAATACATTTCCAACCTTTACGGGGAGAATCCGGCCGCAGGTTGGGATAACCCAGCGGTTCTGGTTCCTCGACCGCGGCCTCGAGCCCGGGCTGACAGATTAGCAGTCCCAGCGACTGACAGCGCTGCTCGCCCGTGACTGCACCCCCGCCCGCTTGCCCAATTATAGGGCAGAGTGTCATCAGAGGCGTCAATGCTGGATGAGTCGATATAATATAGCGCGCCCTCGACCACGCTAATGCAAGAGCGACCAAGGAGGTGCTCTCCTCCTCGCCACTGCTCGAGAACAGATCAAAGTCAGATACGCGCATCAGCTGCTCCGGTTCCGGCTCCGAGTCCGGGTCCCAGAAGGGCAGGACGGTTTCCACCTCTATCTCGTCATCTTTGCCTCCATGTGCCTTGTCGTCCTCGTCTGTCTTGTCATTGTCAGTGAAGATAAACAAAGTTAAAACTTGATTGATACGGAGGAAGGGCTGGGTGTTTTTTTGCGGTTTAGATTGGAAAAATTTAAGTAAGTGGTCAAATGTGAAAAGGAGTGGTTGTTCACATGGCACCAGTTTGAATTAATGTGACAATTATTACGGTCCAAAAGTAATAGTTGTGTGAAAAACCGTGGAAAACCGTGGAAAAACCGACTGAGCGGCTCCAAGTCCTGTCGACAGAGTGGGCACTTTGGATGCAACTCATCCGTCACCTTTCGCCATTAAGCCAAGCGCAGCTTATTTGTCACCTCCCCCTCAAGGATCTGATGTAAGGTTCTCCCCTCTTTACAACAGATTGGTCACATTTCTTGGGTTTCGTTAACAGAAGCGCTGACGATTTCTGAAACTTTATTCACTGATAATGAGATACCATATTTTCTGAAATTGAAAAATTCAGTTAGTTAC